ATGATTATTATCATCGGTTCTGATATCGCCAGCGGCATAAAAGTGTGTAGCAGTTTTTCAGATTATCGCTTATTGAATTTTGGATCTAAAAATTGTTATGAGGATCCTGTGACATCAATGAATATCGTAAGTACACACTATATACACCTTCTTTCTACTAACCTGGCCGATTTTTTAACGCCTCACACGTGTTTCGCTTATTATGTTAGCATCTTCAGGAGAAGATTGAGACTAAATATCCTATTCTAGGATGCTGCTTATACAGGTTGTTTATCGATTCGTTACATCATTTGGTAAAAGGAATTTTATTGAGAAGGAATATTCTCAGATATATTTATGAACACAAAAAAATGGATATATACAGGGTGTCTGTAAAATGTTGAGACATGGCTCGGGTTTGGACTCCTAGGATGAAAACAAGTTGATTTAGGCCAACTTACCTTCATCCAAAATCGTCTCGTTGAGTTGGTACAAGGCGTTGAAATTTTTTTGGAGAAAAATAATTTCGCTCATAAAAAGAGTAGGCTGAGATCGATTTTCATAATTCTTGGCATGATTTTTCTGTGACAGTAAGTCAAGTTTGAAGATGTTTGTGATCATCATCAGTGACCTGCAAGTGTTTCAAACAACCATGTTGCCGTACAAATTTGGTGATAACTTTTGAAAGGTCAGACTGGGAACTTCCAGTTTTTTTTTCAGAAAGATATTCCCTTCAGGAATATTTTTTGTATCGTGTCAATTTTTTGGTTCATTTGCAAATAAATAATTTCTGATCTGATGCATCCTTCGCATTTTCGAAAATAAATCTAATTAGTCGGACTGTTTATTGATCATGGCTACAATGTATTCTTATTGTGAACAACCTGAAATGTTGCTGGTCCTCGCAGGCTTTACAAAAACTCTCGCGTTAAAAATTCAGTGATAATTAGGTTAGGTTAGGTTGAACGTGAGTGGGCCTATTGTCAGGCCCTCCACTGCGGCCATTGGCCTATTGTGGCTCACCCTAGGGTTATATTTCTCCCTGTATATCCAATTTCTCAACGAAATTGAGGATTGCGTTGGGAGAACAATTTACCAGGTTTTCTGGCCTTACTATTGTATTGCCGAATATTGATGTGTGATAATTATCCAGGACCTAAGGTGAGAACTTTAACGCCTCGTACCAACTCAACGAAACGATTTTGGATAAATATAGGTAATAAGATGACTAAAAAACTTATTTTCAGTGGCGGCTCGTGACTTTCATGACAGAGGAGGCTGAATGATATGAGATTTATTGTGGAAAACAACTCTCTACTCACTAGATTTATTTTGGTGTCTTTTTAATGAGGAACATACAAAATATTAGTTTAAGGAAAATCTCTGAGGAGGCTCAGCCTCCGTTGCCTCCTCTGAGGAGCCGCCACTGCTTATTTTTATCCCAGGAGTCTAAAGTCAAGCCATGTCACAACCAGATTATTTTTCTAAAAAATGCATGAGATGCCTCAGATCAGATATTATCTATTTGCAAATGAACCTCGAGACTTACAAAACATTAACACGCTACAAAAAATATTTCTGATGAGAATATCTTTCTGGAAAAAAAACTGGAAGTCTCCAGTCTGACCTCTGAAAAGTTATCAACAAGTTTGAATGGCAACATGGTTGTTTGAAACACTTGAGGGTCACTGATGATGATAAAAAACATCTCAAAACGTGACTCACAGTCAGAGAACATAATTATGTAAACCTACTCTTTTTATGAGCAACATTATTTTTTTCCAAAAAACTTCAACGCCTTGTACCAACTCAACGAGACGATATTGGATAAAGGTAAGTTGGCCTGAATCAACTTAATTTTATCTCAGGATTCCACAGCCAGGCAGTGTCCCAACCTTTCACAGACACCCTGTATACATAAAGAAATACATTGAGAATTCGCATTCTCCATGTGATGAAAATATTAATTCTTTCTCGGTTTATTCAACAGAAAACAACTAATTTCTTGGCTATATGCCACGACGAATATTGAATTACATCTATTGAAAACACACGATAAGAATTTGAAAACGAAATCTTCTGAAGTAGAGAATTTGCCTTCTCCTTCATATAAAAATATGCATATAATATCATTCTGAATATTCAACAAAAAACAACTACTTTCCTGGCTATTTGCCACGTACAACATTGAATTATATCTGTTAAATATCCAGAAAGAGAGCATGAAAAATCAAAATCCTCTGAAATTGAGAATTGACATTATCGCTCAAATCGAATAGATTGATATCATGTATTATGATATAAAAATATAACTTACCAATATGTTCAGTATTGGAATGAAAATTGAAATGTATAGGAGAAGTATACTTGCGAGTATACTTGTATGAACTTTGATCTTGATGAGCTTGGATCTTAAAAAACAAGAAATGTTCTAATCGGAAAACCATGTATTGAATAAGGTATATACGCATAAAGTTCTCAAGTATCTGATAAAAAGAAAAACAAAGCAACACTGCTGAACCTAATTGTCTTCCGTTTTTTCAATGTACGCATCTTTCAAGTCATGATTTTCATACGTTTTGAACATGTCCTAGAAGACAATTATCTAATTATGCTTATCTGCAGCGGCGGCACCAATCAAATTTGAATTTGCATTGAAAATAATTGATGATTTTGGTTCTTGTTGAAATTTGCGAAAGACGATGCCGCGAAACAAATTTGCATATGCCGCCCTCATGTAGGAAGACCCGAACATGAACATGTGATGGAGAGGATGGAATTTTCGAACAATACTTGTATCACAATAATAGTTTTATAATTTATACACCAAGGTAGTAAAGAATATCAGTATCACCCTTGATTATATACACTTCATCAAGGGTATTACCCTTGATTATGAGAGATGATGATCCACAGAGGCTTCAGCCGGTGTACAAGTGTACAAATAATTTGAAAACCAATACAGCTAACAACGATTTTCGAAAAACATGTTTTCAAGCACAACAAGAATTGCTGTTCAACCCAGACATGTAGCTGAATTTCGTGTAAAAAACACTTGTGCATGAATCACTCAGTATATTATCTTCAAGTAATGTTTTATCTCAAATAACTTTCCCAAGACGATGACTCAATAATGTATTATTAAGATACACAAGTTTATATAAATGGCTTGTATAGTGATCCGACATTATTTGTTCAGAAAATGATTATATTACTACAATTTTGTTTTATATCAAATGTATAGCGGAGACAAAACTTTTGAATTCGAAAAATCAGGTGCATATACAAACTGAACTCTCGATTTACACCCTTTTCAGTTGTATTTGAGAAAGCATCAATTGTATTTCAGAATAGTCAATTCAATTTCAGAAAGCATCAATTGTATATTAGAAAAGTCAAACAGTGTTGCCGTTCGAGTACACTTTCAGTACATTTTGCCATTTTTGTACGTTCTCAACCGAAGTGTATTAATTATGCATTCTGATCTGACCAATGGAATAAGTGGAAGTGAAACTTCGAATGTCGAAACAAATCGCTGGTTTAGTTGATCAAACATCATCGTAATGTATAAAAAGATATATCATGATTTGCTTTAGAAGCGTTCAAGCGGTAAGCTACCTGAACCACTTACTGGTAATAAAGAATAAAACATTCAAAACTCATACATTGCGCTTGTCTCCAGTATTTTAATATTTTCAGAAATTAACGATCATTTCGAAGCATTTGCCGACCTCAAAGCACCATGGTCAATGATAGCCATCAACTTTGAGAACATGATTTAAGGATTAATTTTGGTATTCTCGGCTCTCTCAAGAACAATTCGTTCTATAAGGATTTCATAGTGGTAATCTTGCCATCGGATATGAAGTTGGTGCTGATTAAGTTTAAAATAGTCTGAGAAACTCGACTCAATTGGTCAAAAATAGGCAAAACTGAGCATAAATCCGACTTATTTTCTCCATTCCCTGACTACATGAACGTTTATGAAGTTAGAATTTGGTGAATTTTAACTCCAATAAATATCCTGATAGTTAGAGGGCCTTGAAGACATTTTACTCGTAATTTTGATGTTAAATATTACCCAATTGATAACTAGATGCTCACTAGGACCATGAAGTTATGTTTGAAGTCTGTAATGAGTAGTTTCCAACTATGCAATTTGTCTATAAAGTTGATGGTTTTATAGAAAATGTTGAGGTCCTAACCAAGCATTTTACAACATAATTCATAACTTTATAGTTTCACAGGGCATAACGGTAAAATATTTTGTCGGAAATTAGTGAATTTCGACTTCTTTGAGTAATTTCTCCTCTTAAACTGTTGGTTGGGTGGGTTTGAGGCTTCCACTCGGGCTATGTATTGCGAAAAGTGTGGTCAACGTCGGCACAGTTGAAAGAATGTATTCTTTTAACTGTGACGTCTGTACCAAAAATCAAATCTCTGCTCTGATAAATGACTGAAATAAATGATTATGGGTGTCTTTATCGCATAAGTGTGTCACATTGTACATATTATAGAAAAAGCAAAGTTTTGAGAACATTTTGAAATTCCACATGTATGGAAAAGGAAGAAATAATATAACTCTACGACTATCCGAAATCATTATAAATGAATTCACTTTCGATGAGTCTCAAATTTACCTATACATTAAATAAATATGACGGTTATCTTCATGCAAATGTTGAACATCATTCTGAACAGCTCATAATCACTAAAAACAATGGTAATTCGTTACTTTGTTTCTCTTAGTCTATCAATTGCATAGAAACATCTCATCATACACCTCTACTTTTCCTAGTGTCGATTTATGAGATGTACAATCATCTTGATGGAACATGTCGCGATTGGACTGTAGGCACGTGTGGGCTTTATGTTTTCTGAGGATTATACCTGGTCACGAAAAATATTAATTTCAGATAGAAATATAATATCAGCTTTGACTTTCAACGTCATTCATCAAGGTGATAGCTTCCGGCAGGTAGGTAAGTAATAAAATCGTTAAATTCTCATTGAAAATAATCAGTTGAGAACTTCTGTCTAATCTATAATGTACTCGTGTCATCGTCTAGTGATTGCATTAATTACTGTGGTTTATTTAATTTTCATCGATTCGAATATCGTCCAGAGCATAAAAGTTTGTAGATCTATTTCGGACTATAGCTTACTGAATATCGCCAAGAAAAATTGTTATGATGATCCGGTTACGGATTTGAATATAGTAAGTAGATTCACTCAGGAAATGTCATCAGTAGAATCAATAATTGAGGAAGATTGAGATGACAATCTTGAATATAGTGAGTTCAATAGCACACCTACTTCAAGTGGACAATATTCAGGAGACCATTCATTATATGCTACTAAGTCTAATAATAGTTGTTCTCAAAATGAGATTGTTCAACTTTACCTATCGGTAGTAGGTGAAGATAGTTTTTTGTTATAATTATCGGATATTCTCAGTGTAATAATAATGATGATGAAAATAATAATTTATTCACATATACATCCAATAAAACAGTACAGTTTATGCATGATGAAAAAGATAACACTATAAAACTTTCATAAGTACAGTATTCAACACTAAGTAGGCCTAAAGGTAAAAAGTCAGGGGTGAATAATTGTAAGTCTACAGGACCTGTGCGTAGACTTGTTCTATTTCCCAACAACAATATAAGCACGAGGCGAATTATTGTTAATGCAAATGCAACAGTTAGATCATATTCAGTATATTGTCAATTCCACGTCTTGAAGATTTCACTTTTTCGTCGTCTCATTCATGTATTGGAGGTGCTAGAACATCACATAAAATATTTTTTTTCCAAATGGCTAAGCCTAGGCTATAAAACGCCAGCCGCAGCATTAAATCTACTTCTTTTCTGCCTGGTAAAACTAATAACTATTTTCTCCATCAAGCATCAGGAATAGTGGCTTTTTCCTGCGGCTCAACAGCTAGAATAGGTGTAACTTTTACTGCCTAGACAGAAAAAGTTTGTTGCTATGCAACGTTTCAAGAAATTTCAATGAAATTAGTAATCAAAATTGACACTGACATAGGGTGGACACAAAATTGGTTTTATATCATTTGGACAGAAGATTCTATGTTTAACACGGCAGCAAATGTAGATTGACTGCCTTGATTGCTAGCCTCGCTAACTGTCAGCCGCGGCAGTCAATCTACTACTTTTCTGCCTAGTAAAACAAATAACTATCAGTGGTGAATGACTTGAATTACCTACCTACTTTGAATTCGTAATGAAAGTATTGAGACATTGATGAGTTCGAATCTGGCTATCGGCTAGAAGTGGTTCAAATTCCACTATAAGCTGTAGGTCCCGCTCTTCCTGACCCCGTACAAGTTTCGACTTCTGGGGAGTTGTTCCCAACTTTGAAGTAGCGATATACAAATTGAGTGAAATGTTGATAACAATAATAAATTAGCAGTAATGATAATAACAACAACAGCAGTAGTATTACCAATAATAATAACAACAATAACTTTATATATGTACAGTATGATGCAAATGTATGGAATAAATTCATCTCAAAACAAGACGACTTCCGAAAAAAATTCAGAAACTAGAGTTCAGAACTTTTTTAATTGATGTATTTTTTTAACTAGACGACCCTTCGATGTGCAATTCTCAGTAGCAGACCTCTGCAAGATTTGGTTAATCAATTGATAATCCATTTTAATTTCAATCTTCATAATAATATGTAACATTTTGACTGACGAACAGTAGACCTTTCAAACGAGGTGTCACATGACCCCTGTTTGTATATGAAAAAATCATCCATTACGTCATTACTCCAATACCAGTGACGTAACATCTCTCATATGAATATTATGACATGAGGCTTCAAAAATTGAAACTCACGTGTTTTTGGAATTTTTTCAAATGTCGCCCATTTCTGAAATAACGAATTTATTCCAAACATTTGCATCACACTGTATATATTATTCACATATTTGGCTGAGGATTGACTAATTTATGTAGTTCTATTCGAGTTTTTGGAATAATCCTCACTCATCAATTTTTTAAATAAGTATTTTCTGTTGATCTATATAATGGAGAATTGGTGGACGATGATGGAGAGAAGCATTCACTATAGAGCCAAAATGCTCTGCTGTGATATGAATTCAATCTAACTAAATAATTCTATCTTACTATAATCTATACAATATAGCGATAAACCGCCCCCCTTCCTATGCACAAAATTCTCGAGTATCGAGTATTGAATATAAAACAAGAAGAACCGTGAAGAACAGAGCGACGTTGCCACCGTTAATAAAAATGGTGACATAGAAAATAAATTTCAACGGTGGCTGGGAAGTAGATCTCATCATCTCAGAATGTATTTCAACTCGTCGATATGTTGGTGATCAAAAATAACATCTATCAGAGCAGGTACAATCAGTTCATCAAAGAGCGAACCAGATGTTATGATGTTTCTGACGATTTAGAGCAATTTCTATAGTGAATCGTGGTTTTGAGACTATAGTGAGAAGCAAGCAAAACTTCGAGTATTAGAGTAGGTATTTACCCATGGAATATCTGAGGATGCTATATCAATTCTGATGCTAGTGTCACCAAATTTTCATGTGAACGACAGAGTCACTACAATTCAAATAGGCCTCAGGTGATCGACATTCTAGATTTTCCCCTATCATTTCAGTTCAATTTTCGAGATGAAATTACTCGTTAATTGAGAGACCAAGGAAAAATCGTATATTATCGTCACTTTCGTTATACCAAAGCTCATTGCTATGTTCAATGAGTGTATATACCTAGTCATTCCGATAAAAACCTGATCTATGATGGATTCATACAAACAAAAGAGATCGATTTATACCTTGAACCTATCAAACACATAAACATTGGTATTACCTACAACGAATGCTCTGTTATATGCATGTATTCCCTCAAAATAGTGAAAAATTTTTGCTATCTCAATACTCAATAAAATGCATACCACAAATATATATTAACAGCAATTAGTAATCCTGTTAATTATGCAAAGGACATTCTTTATCAGTTTTCGCATTATTATAATGTGCATAATCGTCCTATCATGTATAGGGTGTCTCACTTCGAATATCTACTTCTTGTTTATTAGCCAAATACACTACTGGACAAATGTAGTTGAACGACTTGCAGAAAACAGGTGTTAGTTCGGGAGCACATTTCTTGAGATTAATCGGTGAGATTCCGTCGGAACCACAAGCTCTGTTGGTGTTGAGACCCATTGAAATCTCCCTGCTTGAAGTACGTTGGCGAAAGGTGATCTCGAGCATATGACTGTCAATTGGCGTTATGTTTGAAATCCAGAGTAAAATTTTCAGCAAATAAATGCGCAAAAATGTTGGCTTTCTCCTGGCAGTTGTGGCTAGTGTTCCATCTTCCTTGGTTAGAGAAGGAAACGAGCTGGAAGTGAAGTTTCTTCCTACAGCTTTGGCGAAGGACCGAAATGAACGGGATCCGTTAGAACATTCAACAAGTTTTGATCTGATTTTGGCATTATGAGCATTATTGTCTCATTGCATATGCCTCTAGCCTCGACATACTCTGCTCTAGTCTCAGGGCCTGGATTTTTCTGCCATCGATGGGATGCTGCCTGTTTGGAAGCGACAGCTCTAGAGCAGTTTCTACTGAACCAGGCCTTATCGAAAGATATTCTCCTCAAATACTGTCTGTAGGTTAATCGAGGAGGTGATACATTAATTATTCCAAATTTTTTGGGATTCTTTCTCCTCGTTTCTTTAAAATAAAAATATGAATATTATTTCAATATACGTGTAGTAAGGACAAATCAGATGATTTGCCCCATAATGTCACTGCGTTTAAAGAATTTTCCTATCAGAGAGCCTAAAAGAAAAATTCACTAGCTTGTCAGTGACAATTTGTATTGAAAAATTTTTGGAGAAGAGAAATAAAGGTATATAGAAAAAATATCAAATTTTCACTTATCTTTGGACATTTCAACATATTGGAAAAGAAGATAACAACCAGAAGAGAAAAATCAAGGAATCTACTCGCATTCTTCTGAACGGAGACAATGGCATTGCTTCTTGTTCAGTTGATATAGACAGAACATGGTATTCACTACTAAAATCTGAACATCAAAATGGTGAATTCAAGATTAATTAATGAAAACATCCTGTAACTCATTTGATTGCCAACGTCACCAATTGTCATTGAAAACTGAAAAGCTTCAAGACATATTATACGACTTCGCAATTGAAAAAATCTCTTTTCATGTTGAAAACGGGAGCAGAATCGGTCCCGGAACGTCCAAAGCTAAGTGAAAATTTGAGATTTTTTCTATACAGTGTGTCCCACTTACCATGCTCACCATGGGTATCTTTTAAACGGTGAGAGATACGAGGTCGGATAAATGACACCAAATGTGGACTTTGTCAAGGCCAACTATAATGTGGAAAAATATTTCGATAAAATCTATTCGTTTTTGTTTTATACGCAAAAAACAGATTTTGATCATTTTCATGTCTCCTCCGTAACTTCTTTATTTATGAAAATATTCAAATAGGAATTTCACATTCTTATGGCAGTTTTTCAAAGTGATTTCGGAAAAAAATTTGAAATTAATACCAACTCTTCTAGAATTTGAGATATCAGCACCAACTTTAGTTTTTCAAAAGTAGGTCATAGCTCACTATGACTTACTTACAAATAACTTTTTTTCTCTACCAAATGATATGCCGCAGTAATAGTTTTGTGTTCCTAACAACGGAGTTATCGTCATTTATACAAGAACAAAAAATTATTTGAAAGCCGCTATCTTGAATTTATAAATTTTAACAAAAAAAAATCATGATCTCCGACCTCAAAAACCCCCACTTACCAATTTTGAATGGAATCGGACCAAATCTTGTCCGCCATCTTGGAGCAGCCATTTTTTTCAATTTCAACAAAAATTCCATAATGTATTGTCACCGAAATTATGAACACCTGTCAAATTTCAAGTTAATCGGAGTTATGGAATTTTTGTTGAAATTGAAAAAAATGGCTGCTCCAAGATGGCAGACAAGATTTGGTCCGATTCCATTCAAAATTGGTAAGTGGGGGTTTTTGAGGTCGGAGATCATGATTTTTTTGTTAATATTTATAAATTCAAGACGGCAGCTTTCAAATAATTTTTTTGTTCTTGTATAAATGACGATAACTCCGTTGTTATCAACACAAAACTATTACTGCGACATAT